TGACCTTTATTCATAAATAACTTAAGTTTAAATAATAGTTCGGGTAAGAACTACTATGAACGCAATAGACAATGTCAGTAACATGCAAAAGGTTCTATGGTTTTAATCTAATCATGTCAAAAAATGCGAGCCAATGTCACTAAGTATACTATGTATTTCGATTTTCAACTTAATCGCATCTACAACAATTTTCTCGATCTTGATTGGTTCTCCGCGTGCTTGTTTGTAATAGTAACTGGGCGGAGTGGAAATCAATTCAGGGAGTAATCGGGCCAGTAATTTCAAAATTGGACGAGCGCGTAGCGAGAACTATTTTGAGGGAGAAAGTGATTAGTGCCTTCCATAACTAAAGGAGGTGCGCGTAATTAACGTGCGAATGGAGAAGGTATCCAGTTACTGGGAACGATTACGTGACAAATAGGCGCCTGGAAAACCAATGACGGTCGAGAATTTTGTTATAACTACGATAAGTCAGGTAATCGGTGGGCGATCACGTCGCTGTCCAATTACAGGTATCCAGTTTCGGTTTCTTGTGGCTGGATTTCTGTAATTGAATACCTTCGCCATTCGCATGTCAACTACGTGAGCTTCCTTCTTAATGTTCGGTGCAGTTTTTGACAACTTATGAAAAGCACTACTGAATTTTTCGCTCAAAAGAAGTTTTCAAAAGACTCCTTGATCTCAAAATTGATATGATTAATTAGTAATTGGAATTCGTGTCGTACAATTAGGGGGAAAATCGTGCTCGGAGTTTCTAATTGGCCTCGCCCTCCGCGCTCGTCCGATTTTGAAATTACTCACCCGATTACTCCCTGAGTTGTACTCCACTCGGTTCAATTGCTATTAGTAATTCCAAGTATCTCAGAACACATGTAAGTTATTAGTGTTGGCGTTTTCTCCTCGTTGTGATAGACCAGTTTTCACTTGACTGCCGAAATTAATTTGTGTTTGGTTTGGTTTTGCATTTACGCTGCGCGATTGGCTTAATAAAACTCGCGCCTTTTTTTCATCCAATCAGAAGTAAAACTCGTTCGCACGCGTTTTCCCGCGCTTCGCCTCAAAAACATGCATCTGCTGCTAATTTTGATTGGTTCACAGGATTGTCTGTGTTCTTTGAGGAGGGCCAGAGTGATTACTTTGGTTTTGGTTTTAAGACACTCAATTGAACAAATTGGAGAATCTCCAAATTTGCCACCCTGGAGACCAAAATTGAATGGGATGTGAGGGTATTTAACCACAGACAAAGAAATTCTTTTGTATACTAGCGGGAAACTGTTCAGATAGTTTAAAGGAAGTCAATCACGGCATTTTGAGTTATTTTGGTCTTGTACATAATTACCTTTAAATAAAATGAAACCTGAAAATATTAGTTTACTAAGACAGGAAAATCCCGAAGTCATAATTTCAATAAACCATAAAGGAACAAGGATGGTTACGGATGGAGAAGATTAACACGGAATACAAACGACGAATTTTGGCTTAACTTTTCATGATGCGAAACCGTGACGTAGTTACTTTAACTACAGAACTAAATGAGACTTTTTTTTTTCCTCAGGCCAAGCATTCATCCATGGACGGAAGAGAGTCGAGATCAGGAGCCCCAGGTACACTTCCGGAGCCAGTTTACCGTGAAATTCCAGAGGACAATACTATTACAAGGAATAAGATGGCCTTCAAGTTGAAGAACAAAAAGAGTTTGTCCAAATACCGATGGCGAGGGCGCTAATACTTTCTTGGAGGACTTGCACCGGTAAAAAAAGGAAACTGGGGAATATGGACAGTTTAGATTTTAAAATTAATGCTGATAGAGCTTATCTTTGTACGGTTTGAAAGTAGTGGATAAATAACTTGGTGCTTACGATAAGTAATTATGCATAGAAATTGAGAAATTTAAAAATACGACTAGAAACAGAGGAGAGGATGCAAAGGTATTCTTAGATGACTTGTCGATACTTTTTCTCCGCTTCTTCTTCACTAAACAATGTAGAGAAATTGAATGTTAATTATTGTAATAATCTTTAATTTTTAAAAGTAGAGCTCATACATTTGTACTGCTTACGATCAGTAGAGCGCATGTAACTAGATCTATTAAAGTTTACAGTAAAAAAAGATATAGTGTATCTCTGAAGCTTTCACCACTCATCTTTAAAATCCAAAGTTGCTCTCTGTTCTTCGTGATTTTTTTCGAGACTAAAATGGCCAATTCCCTCTGTGAGACGGCCTGCAGAGAATCATGGTAGTTGTATTCGGTAGCGTAGGAGCTTTCTTAAGCTTGTAATTCTATTTGTCGTCATATGCATTGCAGCAGCTGTTATTGTTTTGGAGCTAGGGGACATTGTTTCTGTCGTTTGTTCCATTGTCCCGTTAGAGGGTCCCTAGCCATTCATAAGAGACCTAACGAGAGCTGCAACATCAGTGAACTGTTGTATTCATCAAAAGAGACATTTAGTCCAAGATGATACACAAAAATACCAGTATTCCCTGCAGGCGCATCTCCTCCCGGTGAGGGTCGCCAATTTCAAAAGATCGAGGATACTCGTCTTCTCGCTTAAGGGTATTAATCAAAGCTTCTGGTCTCACTTAGGGTGTTGATGGCGAAACGCCACTATTTTTTAGCTGTAAAAGTATCTTTTAGCGTGCACTCGAAAAAATAGTAGTAAAACAAACGCTCTTATTTCCGCCTTTAGACCCGATGTCCGCTGCTCTCTCGAGTCCAGTCTTTCGGCGTAAAGCTCGAGCCACGCCTAAATTGATCTCCCTTGGGAGATAAATTCAAATTTTTCGACGAGCATCCCCGACCTTGTATGTCATAGTTCCTCCCCCTCCCATGGCATCTCATACAGGGAATTGGCCATTGCTTTTTAAGACCGACGTTTCGGCAGGATTGATTTCAGAAACTGGAAAAAAAAAAAACACTAAGTCAGTGTGCGGAAAGATTCTTCTTTTTTTGTAACCACTCCTTAAGGCATTTCATGACAGTTCATCAAAATGACGAAAATTATGCAGCAAAATGTAGCCAAACGACACATTAGGAACATTGCATAAATGCGATACATCAACGTCGTCACTGTATCTGACCATCAGTGGAACTACTTTGAGTCAGATGTGAGTACCAAAGGATTCCATAGTCAAGGGACAGCTGCGTGTTGCGTCTCCGAACTGTTAGTGTCCAACATAAGTTTGCCGGTATACGGGATGAGAATAAAAATGGAGACGGGATGTGGGATGACAAAGATTTTCGGTATTGGCGGGATACGGTATAAAGAAAAAACACTTTGGAGGGATCGGGATTTTCTCATTTGATCTGGGCGATGCGTGATAGTTTTAAAATTAAGGGCGCGATGCGGGATGAAAAACAGAAAATTATACGATAAGGACGTCACGCGGAGAACTATAACTTTAACCAGGCGGGATCGGGCTTAACATTCTTACTGTGGCGAAATGGCCGGATTGAGCTAAAATAGTGGCGGGATGCGGGGTCTAACAAGTCTATGGCAGACTCACAACTGTTGGAGTTGTATTATAACAGCCTTGATTAGTTATAAGTAATGTTACCGTTGAAATGATTTATTAGAGAGATTCATTAAACAAACCAAATAGGCAAAGTCAACGAGGGCATTGCTAATCAAAAGGTTTAATAAGCATCACAAAGATTCTGGAGGTGCGTTATTTGTAACTCTTGGTGAATTTATTCAATTTGCATTTATCTGCAAAACAGCAACGGGAAATGGCCAAATTCTGCTGCTTATCTTTTGAAAGCATAAAACACGACCGGTTCGTGATTGGTGTGTAACTAAACGTTGTCTTTACGTGTTATACTAGAGCGAGATTTTACAATGATATGTACTCCCTGTTTACATCTGGATAATTGCAAGGTTCATAGGTAGAGTATAAATTCATTCATAACTAGAACTTGTGATTGGCGTCTCAGTCATTACTTAATTAAGGTGGTTTACTACAGTTCTGAGAAAGACAAACAAGCCAGCTTTTAACTCTTTTGTAAAATGTTCCCAAATGTTCTTTTTTTTTTACTGTTTCCTTAAGTCTTAGCCATCATATGCGCACTTGAACAACACAATATAACACGATATACAGGTTGGTTTTCACAAGCGCAAGGCCGACATACGCAGAAGAAGTGAGAGGTTGATAATAAATGTCATTTGTTCGGACATTTTCCTGACAAAAGATGCAACTTAACGGCACCTTACTACATCTACCTATGATCCTCATGTCTATACTTGTGCGCTAGTGAAAACCGAACTAAGGCCGAGTGCTTAAGGAAAGACTGGACACTTGTAGTTTCAGTGACATTTTTCTGAAAATCGTCTTTTTAATTAACTTTATCGGGAATGAAGTTAAAAAACAAAACAAAACGAAAACAAAAAAAGAGGAAATCCCGAACGATCTTACCTCAAAAATAAGCAATACCAGTTAATGCTACGCACTTTTTTTCACAAGTATTTGCCAGAAAATTTCCCATGTTATATCTAAATAGTTTCATTCAAGAGAAAACTCTTGTTTCATTGCATCTTTTAACAACTTGAAAAATTTGATCGCTATGCATATGCTATTCCTATGAGCTTTCGGGAATTGCTATATTTGTCCAGTCTCCTGTCTTCTACCAATGATCTTTTTTCTTCTTGCCTCGGTAGAAAAGTCCTCAGTAAACGAAGATGATTCACAGGTCGTCTTCTCGGGACCGATCAACCTCGTTCCCAGGGTCTCTCATCTTACCGCCCCCTGGAGCGAGCGAAGAGAGACCCTGGTTGGGTCTGGTCACGTGCCNAGTTTCGTTTCTTCTAAATTGGTGGACGCCAAAGTAATACAGACTGCAATTATTACAGCAATGTTTTCATGCAATGTTAATCGATGGCCACCACATACCAAGAAGTTCAGAAGTTTTGCAATGTATGAAATGAAACTCGAAACATCTTTTTCAATTAATTTTGAAGAAAAATTCTTTGAAGATCATACCTATTTAGCTGATTCTGTGGTGAGAAAGTGAGAACTTTAGCAAAGCCAAATAACTTGTGTTAAGTTAAAATTGGAAGTCTATTAAAATTTTAGGAATACATAATTCTCCGGTTCAGTGATCGAGACCAATCTATTCAGTTCCGCCGAAATTAAACTAAGTGAGAAACGGGGGTTTAAAACACCCATTCAGTGATATGAAGGCAAACATGTCTCGTCGTTTGGTCCAAATCGGTGTTCTCCATTTCTAGTCAATAAGACGTTTAAGAGGATTTTGATATCATTTTAATTTGCTATCTACAGTAGACACGTTTTCGATTTCATTTGAATAATAACTGAATAATTACGTGGGCGTTGACTATAATAACGTAAGTCTCTATTCATAATTGTAATCAAAATCGATGGAACTTTTTTTCTTCCATGAATTTCTGTGGGTGAAGGTTTTGGACCTTAATACAGTAACATAACGTTTATATCTACTTATCTTTTCATTTAATTTGTTTCACCCCTCGCAAGGCCAAACCAGAAAGCTTCTGATAAAATAACGATTAATAATTTATGTCCAGAAACGGTCCTTTTGGCAAAACGCAGTAATTTAACCGTGAAAAGAAACCCAACGGTAATTTTAAATGGAAATGATGTAAGCTTGGTGGAATAGTAGAATGTTCGATACCCCTGAGAAAAGTGTTTAAGTATTATAATTAATTCCTCGAATTCACATTAGGAAATTTGACGCCTCTAAGATGAGTATTAAAAATTATATTTGTTCATGCTCTACCTCGTTCGAGCCAAGGCGTAATGAGCGAGTTATGAGGTATTCCGCGGTAAGTAATTGCAGCAATCAGCGAAAAAACGAGTCTACGCTCGTAAATTAATAATGATGTTTGAGTTTAATCGTAGTTATATAGCTAGGTGGCATAACTCACGGTGTTGTTCGTGATCAGAGGGCATTGTCGCAGTTATTGAGCCGTTGAAAATGAATGCAATTCTATCTGTGGTGATTCTCTCCGTAACTCTGATTGTGGTCAACGCGCAAAATTGCGGCTGGGGAGCTCCATACGGCGGCTGTAAGTTGAAGGTTTGTACTGAAATCCATTTCCACTTGATTTCAGACTGACGGTTATTTTGTTGGCAATTTCTTATAAGTAACACAGAAGTAAGAAAGCATTTCCATAATTCTGTTCTCATCTTCTTAGTCATGTCGTTGGTCTCAGCGCAAAATATATTCTATAAATCTTCGTTCTGAATGGTATCTTATTCTGGCCTAGGCAAGTATAAACGTTGAGATTGTAACGAAGTCAACGACATAAAGGCTAATATAAAAATACTAGGAAGAAAAATGAACCCTCGTTCATGTTATTTTGACTTCAAGAATCTCATTTGTTTTCAGTTGTGTTGTGTTGATGCTTATTTTCGATGGTTTATAGCGAGGTCAACCTAAGACTGAAAATAAAGCTATTGATTCTCTCTTCTACAACTACTTGCAGAGGTAGTCGAGACATCCTACCTTAACGAGAGACAAATCTTCACCGCGCTATCGCAAGTAAACTTTACCCTCTCCTCCCCTTTCCAATGTTGCTAGCTAAACAATATCACGAACAAAACTTAGCTGAACAACATCGAATGGCATCTTATGCTGGGGAGGGGGTGGGGTAATTGTTATTCTGTGACAAATTTGTTATTTGCCGTCCTATCAATTACGTAAAGCCACTTTTTGCACATCTGGTTGTAACGCTTGCAGGTACGTTGCTGTCACGGCTGTCATCGCTCCTCAAATATTTTTATGCGTATTCTTATCTTGGTGCTGAAAACCAAGCTTAACAGGAAGATAGATAACGGTCTCTGAATGATATCTTGCGTTTCTTCAATCTAAACGAAATGACCGTTGTAAGGATTGAACTGAAGAACTGTTTTCGCCGTCAAGGAAATGTATGTCCGTATAAAATTAGGCGTTTTAAAACGTGACCTTTATTCATAAATAACTTAAGTTTAAATAATAGTTCGGGTAAGAACTACTATGAACGCAATAGACAATGTCAGTAACATGCAAAAGGTTCTATGGTTTTAATCTAATCATGTCAAAAAATGCGAGCCAATGTCACTAAGTATACTATGTATTTCGATTTTCAACTTAATCGCATCTACAACAATTTTCTCGATCTTGATTGGTTCTCCGCGTGCTTGTTTGTAATAGTAACTGGGCGGAGTGGAAATCAATTCAGGGAGTAATCGGGCCAGTAATTTCAAAATTGGACGAGCGCGTAGCGAGAACTATTTTGAGGGAGAAAGTGATTAGTGCCTTCCATAACTAAAGGAGGTGCGCGTAATTAACGTGCGAATGGAGAAGGTATCCAGTTACTGGGAACGATTACGTGACAAATAGGCGCCTGGAAAACCAATGACGGTCGAGAATTTTGTTATAACTACGATAAGTCAGGTAATCGGTGGGCGATCACGTCGCTGTCCAATTACAGGTATCCAGTTTCGGTTTCTTGTGGCTGGATTTCTGTAATTGAATACCTTCGCCATTCGCATGTCAACTACGTGAGCTTCCTTCTTAATGTTCGGTGCAGTTTTTGACAACTTATGAAAAGCACTACTGAATTTTTCGCTCAAAAGAAGTTTTCAAAAGACTCCTTGATCTCAAAATTGATATGATTAATTAGTAATTGGAATTCGTGTCGTACAATTAGGGGGAAAATCGTGCTCGGAGTTTCTAATTGGCCTCGCCCTCCGCGCTCGTCCGATTTTGAAATTACTCACCCGATTACTCCCTGAGTTGTACTCCACTCGGTTCAATTGCTATTAGTAATTCCAAGTATCTCAGAACACATGTAAGTTATTAGTGTTGGCGTTTTCTCCTCGTTGTGATAGACCAGTTTTCACTTGACTGCCGAAATTAATTTGTGTTTGGTTTGGTTTTGCATTTACGCTGCGCGATTGGCTTAATAAAACTCGCGCCTTTTTTTCATCCAATCAGAAGTAAAACTCGTTCGCACGCGTTTTCCCGCGCTTCGCCTCAAAAACATGCATCTGCTGCTAATTTTGATTGGTTCACAGGATTGTCTGTGTTCTTTGAGGAGGGCCAGAGTGATTACTTTGGTTTTGGTTTTAAGACACTCAATTGAACAAATTGGAGAATCTCCAAATTTGCCACCCTGGAGACCAAAATTGAATGGGATGTGAGGGTATTTAACCACAGACAAAGAAATTCTTTTGTATACTAGCGGGAAACTGTTCAGATAGTTTAAAGGAAGTCAATCACGGCATTTTGAGTTATTTTGGTCTTGTACATAATTACCTTTAAATAAAATGAAACCTGAAAATATTAGTTTACTAAGACAGGAAAATCCCGAAGTCATAATTTCAATAAACCATAAAGGAACAAGGATGGTTACGGATGGAGAAGATTAACACGGAATACAAACGACGAATTTTGGCTTAACTTTTCATGATGCGAAACCGTGACGTAGTTACTTTAACTACAGAACTAAATGAGACTTTTTTTTTTCCTCAGGCCAAGCATTCATCCATGGACGGAAGAGAGTCGAGATCAGGAGCCCCAGGTACACTTCCGGAGCCAGTTTACCGTGAAATTCCAGAGGACAATACTATTACAAGGAATAAGATGGCCTTCAAGTTGAAGAACAAAAAGAGTTTGTCCAAATACCGATGGCGAGGGCGCTAATACTTTCTTGGAGGACTTGCACCGGTAAAAAAAGGAAACTGGGGAATATGGACAGTTTAGATTTTAAAATTAATGCTGATAGAGCTTATCTTTGTACGGTTTGAAAGTAGTGGATAAATAACTTGGTGCTTACGATAAGTAATTATGCATAGAAATTGAGAAATTTAAAAATACGACTAGAAACAGAGGAGAGGATGCAAAGGTATTCTTAGATGACTTGTCGATACTTTTTCTCCGCTTCTTCTTCACTAAACAATGTAGAGAAATTGAATGTTAATTATTGTAATAATCTTTAATTTTTAAAAGTAGAGCTCATACATTTGTACTGCTTACGATCAGTAGAGCGCATGTAACTAGATCTATTAAAGTTTACAGTAAAAAAAGATATAGTGTATCTCTGAAGCTTTCACCACTCATCTTTAAAATCCAAAGTTGCTCTCTGTTCTTCGTGATTTTTTTCGAGACTAAAATGGCCAATTCCCTCTGTGAGACGGCCTGCAGAGAATCATGGTAGTTGTATTCGGTAGCGTAGGAGCTTTCTTAAGCTTGTAATTCTATTTGTCGTCATATGCATTGCAGCAGCTGTTATTGTTTTGGAGCTAGGGGACATTGTTTCTGTCGTTTGTTCCATTGTCCCGTTAGAGGGTCCCTAGCCATTCATAAGAGACCTAACGAGAGCTGCAACATCAGTGAACTGTTGTATTCATCAAAAGAGACATTTAGTCCAAGATGATACACAAAAATACCAGTATTCCCTGCAGGCGCATCTCCTCCCGGTGAGGGTCGCCAATTTCAAAAGATCGAGGATACTCGTCTTCTCGCTTAAGGGTATTAATCAAAGCTTCTGGTCTCACTTAGGGTGTTGATGGCGAAACGCCACTATTTTTTAGCTGTAAAAGTATCTTTTAGCGTGCACTCGAAAAAATAGTAGTAAAACAAACGCTCTTATTTCCGCCTTTAGACCCGATGTCCGCTGCTCTCTCGAGTCCAGTCTTTCGGCGTAAAGCTCGAGCCACGCCTAAATTGATCTCCCTTGGGAGATAAATTCAAATTTTTCGACGAGCATCCCCGACCTTGTATGTCATAGTTCCTCCCCCTCCCATGGCATCTCATACAGGGAATTGGCCATTGCTTTTTAAGACCGACGTTTCGGCAGGATTGATTTCAGAAACTGGAAAAAAAAAAAACACTAAGTCAGTGTGCGGAAAGATTCTTCTTTTTTTGTAACCACTCCTTAAGGCATTTCATGACAGTTCATCAAAATGACGAAAATTATGCAGCAAAATGTAGCCAAACGACACATTAGGAACATTGCATAAATGCGATACATCAACGTCGTCACTGTATCTGACCATCAGTGGAACTACTTTGAGTCAGATGTGAGTACCAAAGGATTCCATAGTCAAGGGACAGCTGCGTGTTGCGTCTCCGAACTGCTAGTGTCCAACATAAGTTTGCCGGTATACGGGATGAGAATGAAAATGGAGACGGGATGTGGGATGACAAAGATTTTCGGTATTGGCGGGATACGGTATAAAAAAAAAACACTTTGGAGGGATAGGGATTTTCTCATTTGATCTGGGCGAAATGGCCGGATTGAGCTAAAATAGTGGCGGGATGCGGGGTCTAACAAGTCTATGGCAGACTCACAACTGTTGGAGTTGTATTATAACAGCCTTGATTAGTTATAAGTAATGTTACCGTTGAAATGATTTATTAGAGAGATTCATTAAACAAACCAAATAGGCAAAGTCAACGAGGGCATTGCTAATCAAAAGGTTTAATAAGCATCACAAAGATTCTGGAGGTGCGTTATTTGTAACTCTTGGTGAATTTATTCAATTTGCATTTATCTGCAAAACAGCAACGGGAAATGGCCAAATTCTGCTGCTTATCTTTTGAAAGCATAAAACACGACCGGTTCGTGATTGGTGTGTAACTAAACGTTGTCTTTACGTGTTATACTAGAGCGAGATTTTACAATGATATGTACTCCCTGTTTACATCTGGATAATTGCAAGGTTCATAGGTAGAGTATAAATTCATTCATAACTAGAACTTGTGATTGGCGTCTCAGTCATTACTTAATTAAGGTGGTTTACTACAGTTCTGAGAAAGACAAACAAGCCAGCTTTTAACTCTTTTGTAAAATGTTCCCAAATGTTCTTTTTTTTTTACTGTTTCCTTAAGTCTTAGCCATCATATGCGCACTTGAACAACACAATATAACACGATATACAGGTTGGTTTTCACAAGCGCAAGGCCGACATACGCAGAAGAAGTGAGAGGTTGATAATAAATGTCATTTGTTCGGACATTTTCCTGACAAAAGATGCAACTTAACGGCACCTTACTACATCTACCTATGATCCTCATGTCTATACTTGTGCGCTAGTGAAAACCGAACTAAGGCCGAGTGCTTAAGGAAAGACTGGACACTTGTAGTTTCAGTGACATTTTTCTGAAAATCGTCTTTTTAATTAACTTTATCGGGAATGAAGTTAAAAAACAAAACAAAACGAAAACAAAAAAAGAGGAAATCCCGAACGATCTTACCTCAAAAATAAGCAATACCAGTTAATGCTACGCACTTTTTTTCACAAGTATTTGCCAGAAAATTTCCCATGTTATATCTAAATAGTTTCATTCAAGAGAAAACTCTTGTTTCATTGCATCTTTTAACAACTTGAAAAATTTGATCGCTATGCATATGCTATTCCTATGAGCTTTCGGGAATTGCTATATTTGTCCAGTCTCCTGTCTTCTACCAATGATCTTTTTTCTTCTTGCCTCGGTAGAAAAGTCCTCAGTAAACGAAGATGATTCACAGGTCGTCTTCTCGGGACCGATCAACCTCGTTCCCAGGGTCTCTCATCTTACCGCCCCCTGGAGCGAGCGAAGAGAGACCCTGGTTGGACGGTAAGATGAGAGACCCTGGGAACGAGGTTGGGGATAATTGTTCGGTACAAGATGAGGATACAATCCGTGCTTATAATTTTAATTGCAATAAATTTACATAGTTGCGTTGCGGGAAAAATGGTTTTTCCTCCCATGGGCTTGTTGTTATTATTTGGGTGCATCCACCTTGAAGCCCTTTCAAAAGGAATATTACTCTAACGCCCTCCAAACAATCGCTTTTGAATTCGCTTTAATCAAACGAGGAGGTCTTTAGTTCGATCTTCATTTTCTCTTTACTTTAATTTATAACACGCAGTTGATTATTGCCTTTATTCTCATCAACTGTCTACTTGACAATGTATAGATCTTGTAAGGAGTAAATAGACGTTGATATCACTTTATTTGAAAATCAACAGGTGCTCTTTGTGAAACGCATATCTTAATTTTAATTTTCAGATAACTTCGTAACAAAAAGTTACACAACGCAATAAGTTTGTCTTGGCTTTGAATAACCATGTGCTTCACTTTTTTCGACCAAAAACCGAAACTTTCATGAACTTTTTTTCAAAGATAAGAGGTCAAGCGCGCGCTTTCGTAAACCTTCCATTTTTCCTTAAAAAAAAAATGTCGAGAGGGCAAGCAAAATTAAAACGTGTGAATAGCCTTTGTCACTGATCTTCCTGATTGGCGGCCGTCCTACTCGCTCGCTCACTCGCTAGAACAACTTTGCAAAAAATGCCTGTTAATAGGTTAAGGCAGTCCATATCTTTTTGTCGCTAGCAATTGAAGGCAAAACAACTAGTTATTAAACTAATCGTTCGATAACTCAATCTTACGGAAAGCAGCGAAAATTAGTTACATATCATCTAGTTACAGGTTTACATAAAGGATTCATTTTTTTAGCACTGAGTGACCGCAGAAAAAAAAAAACCGGGTAAATTTGGCAAACTGTTTTATAAACCTGTCTTTTTCCGCAGTTGTATCTGAAAGCACAGCCCTACTGGGCTAACACTGAGTAGGGAACGGCGAACAAAAACACAAAAAGTAAAACTAAGACGGCAGACCGTAACTTCATCTTTTTCAGCCTCAGTTTCTTCTTTCAGAGATTCCTGAAATAAGAGCTAAATACTGACTTCTTTTCTAAACACAAATTTCGTGAAATTAGCGATTAATTAAAAATTTGTTCATTAAACTGTCACCTACACCTTCACTCAATATGAATTATTCAATGCTAAAGACCAGCTTGTTTCTTTCACAGGTGCACGCGAAGTCAGTTTATAATTAACGTATTTCCTCACTGTTTGAAATCAACGATGTTTAAATTATTTAGAAGCGTGGGTCGAGGACAGCGCTTGTCAAAACTGCTTTTGTTGGAAAGTAAACTGATTAAGGTCGAGTTAATTTACAGCGTACGTGTGGAAAACTAACACAAGAAGCGAGAAACCGTCAATTTTAGGGCATCAATTTTTCTCTCCATTCCTCTCGCATTACATATTACGGTGTAAGAAATATTTTCAATACTATAAGAGTTTTTACTTCAACTGGGAGATAAATAAGTGACACATGAATTTCAGTTTTCAGAACAGTCAAAGGAGAGATTTTTCTAAGAAAGCAATGGCTTCCAATCAAATACAATGCTAGAATATAAACTAGAGGTTAATAATATTCAAACGCAAGTGTGCTTTTTTTCTCCTGAAAAGAGAGAACGCCTTTCTACTTGACTCGCTTCAGCCAAGACAAAACCGACGCCCACAACTGGTGTTTACTCCGCTTCAACGACTTAAACAGTGTCTTCAAAACGAACGCGCCGGCTGATCATCAAATGGAGTAAAGTTTTCAACGTTTCTAGAATCAAATCAATCAAACGATCGCCAGATGTCAAATGAAAGCGTGTAATAGATAATTAAAAAGTCGAAAATTTAACATTTATGCTCATGAGTTTCCAAAGGCATTTTTTTTTCGAACTGTTCTGCGCAAAGTTTTAAGAACAAGAGTCGGAATATTTATTCACTTTCAAGTCCAACTTTCAAATTAAAATTAATATCACTAATGTCACCAAATTAACTGACGAGGCGTCTTGCGAAATAATGAACACGGCTTAAAACAATCATTTGCCGCCTACTTATCATCAATATACGTCGCTAGCATCTTTATTATATGTCACACTGAATTTTTGATGATGCTGCTTTCAGCCCCATTCTAATCTTCGTTTCGCAGGTGTATTAAGTTACGAACTCGACGAAAATAGGATAGGCAAACCCCGTCGTCACGAGATTGTTGCGTTTGCCTAAGAATGTATCAACTGCAACTTCTATATGAAACCTCCAGGCAAAAGCGCAGTTCAAATGTGAAGCGAGTTTTTAAATTAAACCCTGTCAGGAGGCAAAAGTAACAGCAAAGCATGTTTAAAGAATTTTCACTGCCAGAAAATGTACAAGATTTAGAGATGAAACCACATCAGTCTTAGCTGGTTTTTTACGCGGGTCC